TTGTGAGAACATGGCAAATAAAAAGTTTATAGCATGAATCGTGTCCCATATGCTTTAGATATAGGATCGATTGAATGTGCTATAATATTCATCCATTCTAAATTTTCCAAATGCCTAGGGCATTAAGATGGAAAAAGGAATAGAACTGGAAATGACTAAAATGATTAAGAAAATTGTCGAGGACAATCTGAGGTTTACCAAAGATTGGTTGCTTAAGGACAATTAGAAGTATATAGTAAGGACCATATTGACATATTTTGAAAAGAGTCAACTCTTGTTCAAAAGTGATGGTCAAAATGGTAATATGGAATTGTCTCCATAGGTGGAAGTTATTCTTTGAATCTGTATAAGATTAAAGAACTTAATGCTAAGAAGGATGTTCAAAGGAATGTACTTTGAATTTGATACTTCATTTCCATGGAATTGTTTTCCATTGGAATGCTCTGTAATGTCTGTTGCCAAGTCTTTGTGACTTCTATGCATAGTCATTAAAAGGGGATCATTGCATATAAGTTTAGAATCTAACAGATTACAGTAAATGGCAAGAGTTTGGTATTCTTGCATTTACAACAAGGATTGGAATTGTGAAATGAGCATCATTGGAATATTGACAATTGATCTATTTCACAAAGAGAGGAGCATATGTAAACATAGTATGCATACTTGGAGTATGGCATAATTGTTTTTTGGAAAAACATAGTGTACATGCTTGGAGCATGGGACAACTAATGTTTTAATTCAAGCATAAAGTTGATTAATCGAAACATAAATAATGAGTAATCAGTATGGTGCTTAAATAAAAGGTGTTTTATTTACACTCAAAGTGTTGGGGCCATATAAGATTAGTATTATTCTTGTGTTTCACTTTGCATGTTTTAACTTCTAGAATAATTATGTTATGGTATATATATCATATTATTCAAACCATCCACAGTCAGTCATATGTTGGAAGTAGATATGAATCAAGGCTGTCTTGAATTTGGCTTGTATGATTTGTCTAAAGTGCTTTAGACAATGCAATGGTTGCTACAACATTCATGAGTACTCATAAGGGCTGAGTATTGGATTCAACCCACGCTCACTTGCATCACTTCATGGAATTTATCTCGAGTGATCGTGAGACGGTAATATCATATAAATCTTCAAACCTAGAGATATGAGTTGTTGACTATGAGTTGGTTATTCATTGATTGTACGAAAACGCATTGGTAACTCGATGTTATAAAATGTGCCTTTGTGAATAATTCAACAAGTAGTTAGTACAAGCATATCAGTCAAAGTTTATCTGTTCCTTTTAGAAATAGAAGCGATATCTGGGCCCCTCGATGATTTGGTTTTGACCTATGTACCGGGCCAGGTCAAAACCTAATTGATGTGTTCAATTTAGTTCTATGTCGAAACAAATCGGAGATCGAGAAACAAATGTTAGACAATAAGTAAGACCATGTTCCATGTGTTTGTCCGACTGATATCATGAGAGTAGAGGATTATATGATCACTTATCTTAAATGGCGTATCATCATCATCTCAGTTCCGAGAGACTTTGAAAGAGCTACGATTGCTGGTCGGGTTTTGAAGTCATATTTGCAAATATAGTTATTAGACTTATCCAAATGGGAGACTGTTGGATATAGTGTCTAAGTCCATAACTTTATTTGGTATGAACTTGACCCGACCCGGCATGGTCCATTTGGGTTGCATGGCATTGCAATACTTGGATAGACTAAATAAAAGAATAAGGCACTTATGATTATTAATATATTATAAGTTCTAATATATTAATAATAGTATTATTTAATTAGTATTTGATCAAGTATTAATCTAGTATTAATTTGGTGATCAAAGTGAGACTAATTAAATATATAAGGGTTGATTATGACAACCATCAATTCTTTTATGGTGGATTAATAATCCATGGTTTATGGGTTATGGATGTAGCCATTTGGAGCTCCATGGATAGTCCATGGGAGTTACAAGCCCATGGGTCATGAGAAATGAAGAGTCATGACAATTATGGATCTTCATGATGAAACCCTAGTTATGACACCACTATAAAAGGGACCCTTTGGCTAGCAAAATCGTGACCTAGTGTTACTAGAGAGGGCATAACCGATTTTGAGTGCTAGAAGTATTCTCTCAAGTTATTCCAAGTTTTGTGGTGTTGTGTGAAGCATTTGAGGTACAACATTTGGGGTGCTAGGCTCACAAAGTCTTGAAGGAATCCAAGCAACAACAAGGTATGTATTTCTACTAGTTTTTATGTTTCATATATTCCCCATGTCATGCTAGTTAGGAAATAACCTTGAAAAAGAAATTTGCATGCATATAGAGAAAACATAGATTGAAGGTTATTAGGGTTGCATGTACACTTAGGAAGTGTTAGAATGCTCAAAACCCATCATATACAACTTGGTTGATGAGAATCTTTTGTTATTTGGTAAATTTAGACATTACCACAAATGAAATAATCAAATTAACATTTTCGTTATCGCTAGAAACATACAACTATCAATTTTCAATAAAAGCCATTGCAATGAGATATAAACTAAAATAAAATCAAATTTTTATTTATTTATAAAATGCGGAAAAACTTTTTCCTTACAATGCAAATTTAAATGAAAACTATGCTATCACATATTTTTTAGCAGCCTATCATAACTACTAAGTAATAGCTCAAGAATCCGATCTTCGAACCATGCGATTGAAATCCATCTTCACGATCAGATTCAACATACTCGTCTTTTAAGCTTCTTTCCCTTTGCTTGATCCTATCACATCATGTACCAAGAATCAACACTAAGGAACTTAATAGAGTTAGATAGTGCACTTACTTGAAGCCGAGTCAATCTTTTTGACTTGACCTTTTCTCACATGTTTCAGGTAGTTAGGGCAGCTTCGCAACTATTGTCCTTTCCTTTAGAAATAGACCCATATGAACCCTTTGGGACTGGTACACAGGACAATCTAAGACTTAGCCTTTCTCTTTACCATTTGGTCAACCGATTTGACTATGGCGATCCCTTTGCATTGCGAAGAGAAAGCTTTTCTGGATTTCTAATGTTACCATTGTCAATGTCCATGGAAGCTTAGAAGTCAATATTCCAACAAAAATTGCTTTACCAATGCTCCAATTCATTTTTGATTCAGAAGCATCAAGGAAACAGGTAAGATCATTAAGGGTCATGTCATAGTCTGTTACATAGAAGTCCCAAACAAACTCGCTATGTGACTTAGAAAGTGATTGAACATCCAACTTTCTCAAGACTTTGACACCCAAATCTACCATCTTATCAATATGTGACTTCACCTCTAAGATGTGATTACACATAGACTTTACTTGCCAATAGGGCTTGAGTGCCCTTGAACTATTCAAGAACTTGTAGGTTAGGGAGAATAATTGGAGAGGGTGGCAGAAGAGAAGTGTGATTTCGATTATCCAACCATGGAACATCATCTTCATTAGGAAAGCTTGTACCAAGGGACTTGGGATGATCATTAATATCTAAACCAGACATCTAATATGGGAGATATTCAAGTGAGTTGATTGACAGTCCTTAATATGACACCCAATATGAAATATTAAGGCTAGGACCCAACACAATAATTTATAACTTGGAAGAGGGATTCCGTAATCCAAGCTATAAAATATTTAAAGGTAGTTGAATGACAATTCATCAATTTCCACCGTAAAAAACGAAATAATTTATTAGGTTTTAATTGGATTTGAAACTCCTAGATCTTTTGAGATTCATTGAACTTTTCAATGGCATGCTTCAATCTCGATTGTGCCCTCTCAATTTTTGTGACTAGGATGCCGAGGATCACAAAACAAGGCGTGAATAACCATGCAAATATACTTGGTATCCTTAATATTTATCACTCAATCGATGTTTTGGTTCACCACATGCGCTCCACCGATACTATGATAAACATTAAGTTACCCTTTCCTACCTTGTTAAATCAAGCAAGTGTGTCGGTTAACCACACACGATCCACTAACCGACTTAAGAAAAGTGAAAACACTATAAGAAAAAAGGGTATTAGAGACTGAAAAAATTAGTCTTTATAGTCAATAATCAGTCTCTAATGAGAACCGAGGACTAATTTAGCTAGTCCCCAGCTAGTCCCTGAAACCTAGTCCAAGATAGTTAATTTTGTATGTACCTTGGACTAAAAATCAGTCATTGATGCGTCAAAGTATCAAACACAGAAAATCAGTCTTTGATAATATCTCATTCGGTCTCTAATTAGTTTTCTTCAAATCCCCGATTTGATGTCATATCAATCCCTGATTCTACTTTTTAGGTACTGAATATCAGTCTTATATAATATATTATTTAGTCTCCAATATGTTCCATTGAAATCTTTGTTGTATGGCATATGAGTCTCTAATATTATCTTTCAAGGACTCAATATTAGTCTTTGATACTATCATGCTCATTCTCTAACTTTTTCCCTCAATGTCCCACTATTATCATATTAGTCCCCAATCTTAATGGAATATAAAATAATAAATGGAAAAACATATTATCATTACTTAAATTAAAATTTAACTTGTATAACAAGAATATTCTAAATATTAGAAACACAAATGTCATGAAATCTAAAAATTCAACAACTTTAGATAAAAAAAAATAATACTAAAACAATAAAAACAAATCAGCAGCTAAGAATTTAAAAATGCTAAAAGAAAAAGTAAAATCCCGCTATACGATTTGGTATGGTCAAAAAAAATGTTGACGTCTACTCCGTTTGTATCACCATCACCTCTTCAGCCACAACCCACACATAACATTCTTGCTTCAAGGGAGGTGCACATCTCTTCACCAAAAATACATACTATATGAAATAACAGCAAACTTACATTTATTTCTTTAGTATGGCATCTTAGGATTTCTTGGTTTTAACCATTTTTTAATATCCCTTTACCATGCCTATTTGTGAATAAATTTGTAGAAACTTACCTTAGAATAAGTGTACACAATTATCCTTATACAATCCTAATTTTCCAGTAAGTGATTATTTGATGCTTCCTGTAGAAAATATAACAATGAAGGAATAAGCTGCATTTCATAGTGCCTTAATTGACCACACAACAAACATCTTCCAGGATCTCTTGCTTCTGATGTTGCCAAAAGTGGCTTCCCACCATATGAGTATCTACACAGACACACAAACTCAACAACTACAATTAAAAACGATCACCTTTTTCATCATCTTTTATAACAATATACCACAATGTATTTTTAACTTATAATATATATTCAAGTACCTGAAACAATGCTCTAGATACACATCTAAACGTTTCATGAATTTAAAGTAGGTTTTTCCAGCATGTAGGGTTCTATCATACTCATAACTTTCCCCTATCCATGATTCCTTCTCATCAGCATCATCATCTTTCTTCTCTTCGATTATATGTTCTACCAATATAACCATTCTTTATTTATCCAAAATATAAATTATTAACATTTTTTTTGGAAAAGTAAGCATACTTGGTGTCATGTCATCAATGGCTCTACTTAGGCTTATAGGTGAGGGGTTTTCAATTGAATCTGATAAAATATTCTGCATTTTTGTTTTGAAAGATGATGTTAAAGTTGTGGCTTCATTACCGGCCTTACATATGGCATCGGTATCTATTTCACCATCTTCTTCATCAGCATTGAATGCTCATGGATCATCTTGAAACTTAGTTGATTATAGTGATGCAACAAAATCATGGGATGAAGGATTGAAATCTTTATCAGTGGAAGATTTATGAACACAAAGAGCATGCTATTTATATGTGAACAAATATTTTTGAGTAATTATAATTTGTAATTATTTACTTAACAGAAAAATGTAACTACATAAGAATAAACTATCGCTTGCTTTCACAAGTTGTTGTAATGCAAGAAAATATATAAATAACACACTCTTCTGTTGTCATTGTTGTGCTAGAAATAGGAGCATAAATCTAGAAATAAAAGAAAATAATGCAAAATTATAAATGATTTCAATTTCATTCAAAGAAATTGAATGAAAAGTGGAATTGTGGAAAAAGCTTACTATTATGGCAATGGGTTGTCCAAGTAAAATAGTTTTTGAGCCTTCGAGGGCCAGTACCTTTGGTATGTATCGACAGTTAGTACCAAGAACATAAGAATTGGTGGATTTCGGCATAATAGAAGCATAACAGAAGATTACAATTTTACCCTTCTTGATGATATTTGAATCAGATGAACACGATGGTAGAACTTCGCGAAAAATCATGAATGGATGAAAGGAAGATGTTGGAAGAGTGAAGAGGGATGATTAAAACTTAAAGCAACGAGGGGGATGACAAAGATGAAGGGTGATGAAGATGAATAGAGGTGACTATAGAAGTTAGTAGGGCGTAGGAGAGCGACGATGGTGGTAATGGAGTCTGAGAGCATCTAGAGTCCGAACCAAGGGGTGTGGTGTGAATCGTAATTAGATGAATGTCAGCTGAAAGAGAAGCATAGTCCAACCCTAATATTTTAGGTTTCTTAGTGAAGCAATGAATTTTGTATGGGAGGGGAAGCGGGCTTTTTTTAATGTTTTATGGGAATGGTTTTCATTTTCCAGTTAGTTCAAATGAAGAGAGTGCAACATAGTTAATTTTCAATTTTTTAGATTTTAGAAAGGAAGAGTCAAATCTTTTTTTTATGTATGAAAATTTAAACTATTTATAATAACACATATTATGGTAAAATATATAAAAATTATAGTGGTATCAATGACTAAAATTTAGTCCCTAATAAGTTTATTCACCATAAAAACCGTCGGAAATATATGAGGGTTCAGTGCCATGTAACTTTCACTCTAAAGTTAAAGTTCATGCTAGACTATTCAAGACTGAAATTCAGTCCCCCACTGTGTTTACCACCAAACCAAAATCGACGCAAACATATTGTGCACTAAATTTTAGTCTCAAATAAATTTGGTCAGTCTGTAATTATTCATACCTCAAAATGAGTCCTTATTGGTATCTGAGACTAATTCATCAGTCCCAGATATATGGTATCCAAGACTGATTAATCAGTCTTGGATATTTTAGTTACAGAAGCCCCCTTTTCTGGTAGTGAAAGTGTAATTTTACGGGTTAGCACCAAATTCACATTTTCCTAAGTAACTAAGATTGGGAATTCATAAGTGTTTAGTTACTTAGTATTTATCATTATACTTTTAATGAAGGGAGAATTATAGTACTTGTGCTACTCGTTCGGCTAACGACCCTCCACCAGTCAAGGAAGCAGTGGGTAAGAGTGGACACCCATTAAACTACCATTTTATAGGAAGTAACCTTATACCCCCTTATAAACCAGCTTCGTGAATGAGGCTTACTAACAGTAAGACTGACTTGCTCTTATACATATATATTATTAACTTATAATACTATAAAGTATAAGGGTTGAATTTTAACTTTTAAAATTCCAAGGGATTAACTTGGAATTAAAGTATTCATGAGGGGAAACTTTACAAATTCCAAAACTTTAGGGCAAGGTTTGAACTATTCAAAACCTTTTCAATTCTATAACTTATGAGTTTAAAGTAGTTTTAATGAAAAACTCTTCAAGTTCCATTACTTGAGGACAAGTTATGGAAGACTTTAAAGCTTTTAAAAAAGAGACTCTTCATTTTTATAACATATGGAATGAATTCAAAAACCTTTGGATTTTCATAACTTATGAGTTTAATTAAGCTTTTAAAAACATTAATGAAGAGACTCTTGAACATCCATAACTTGAGTATAAGTTATAGAGTCCATAAAACTATTTTCTGAGAAAGACTCTTCATTTTATAACTTATGCATTTTAATGAATCTTTAAAAGATATGACTTTTGGTAATCCATAACTTGAGGATAAATTATGGACTCCAATAAAATACAATTAGATCAAGAACTAAATAACAAACAATTTTGCAAATAATTCCTATGATCTACCAAAACTCATAAGTATATGAACAATCATATCAAGAATTTCAAGAATTACAAAATCACACATAAAACTTTAAATTTTGATAATAACTTTGAAATTGGTTTACCATAATCATTACCACATCAAAAACAAGTTTTATAAGTCCAAAAACGTTTAAAGTAATGATTCTAGACCAATTCCAGCCTTAAAATTCGAAGATATGCTATCTGGGGGTCCAACTCGTCGAATGCATGAACCAACTCGACGATTTGGATAAATTTAGGCATGGACTCGTCGATTCCCTTACTGGACTCGTCGAGTCAGCTGTGCATATAGCATACAAACATCGATTTTCAGCCATTTGCATCAAGTATAAATGAAAATAAGCCTAGCCTTTGATACCACTGAAGGGTTTTGAGCATTCTAACACTCCTAAGGTGTACATGCAACCCTAAATACATTGGCTCTATGTTTTCTCTATTATAAATGCAAATATCAATCTTCCGAGGTATTGTAATAACTAGCATAATATGAAGTACATATAATATAAATTCTAGTATAATTACATACCTCTTTGTTGTAGCTTGATTCCATGGAGCTTAAAAGCCTAGTGCCTCAAATGTGACACCTCAAAATGTTCACACAACATCACCAACGCCTTCGAATAAATTGAGAGAAAAGGTTCCTATACTCAAATTGGCTAGCCCTCATGTGTACACACATTAGTACCAATTTCTTGAGCCATGGGGTCCTTATATATTGTGGTTATTAGGGTTACACCATGTAACTCATGTCTTTCCATATTCTTCATGGATTAAAACCTCCATGGAGTATCCATGGGTTACTACATGGGTTTAGCCAAATATCAGACCTCTGGATCATAAGCTCACATTTATAAGAATGAATGATTTACACAATCAATCCCCATATATTTAATTAGTCTCATTTTGATCACAAAGGTAATTCCAAATTAATTCTAGATCAATACTAATTAAATAATATGATTTCATATTAGTATATTAGAACTTATAATATATTAAAAAATCATTAATATCCTTTTCTCATAAAAGTCTATCCGAATTGTTCTGATGCCATGTAACCCAAATGGACCATGCCATGACAGGTCGAACACATACCAATAATTATGTGGGCTTACACATCTAATCCAACAGTATGGATTTATGGTTATGGTTTAGAACCCAATTGTTAATTGGGTGTTGTTTTGATATTGGCAGCTCGAGGAATCGATCATCCATCAGTCTAAGATTTATCCGCAAGATTCAACAGTGCGAGGTGAGTTTCCTCACTATGTTTAGCGGGTCGAATGCACCAATGATGGCCCATGCTTAGCTATGTAGAGTGATAGAGGCCTTCATGACTCTTGCATGTGTATGTTTTTGTGTGCTTACTCGGTGGGGCTCGAAGGTTATTATGTATGCTAATATCAGGTATGCATATATGATTTGTATGTAGGTGGGACCTGATGATTGTGTTGTATGCTAATCTTTGTGATTTTTGCATTTTTGGAATGTTATATGATTATATGGTAATATGTTTACTGGGTGGGGCCTATTATTTGAGTGTGGGTGGGGCCCGTGTCTCAGTGGGTGGGGCCTGTTATGCGAGTGTGGGCGGGAACCATATCTCAATAGGTAGGGCATGTTATGTGATAAGTCATGTATGGTATGTGGTATCGTGGGGAACTCACTAAGCTTTTGTACTTATGATTTTTAGTTTATGTTTAAGGTACTTCGGTTTTTAAATGGAAGTGGTCGGAGTGGTTGCAGGGTACACACCATATTTTTCACATTCTGTGAATTACTCTAATTTAGTGATGTTTTGCTAAATCTTGATTACCTCGTTTTTATGGAGATGTTATGTATTAACGATTTATTATTCTATAAAAGAAAATTGTTTGTCATTCATTTTGGATGTTACAATTTAGCTCCATTTTCTTCCATAACTCTACAGCACACACATTTATCTATAAAATATGATTTTTAAGCTTTATCAACATGATTTATCTTCAAACATATCAACTAAAATTGTAAATATTTAGATAATGCCAAAAATATATGACTAACTCTTGAAATATCATTATCCCAAAAGAAAACGTTCTTCAGGGATTATATGGGTTTTTTTATTTTGAAGTGTGTTTTTATGACGAGTTTGGATTCTAGTTGATTATCTTTGGGATTATCTAATGAGTTCATGATGGTTATGTACTTTTGGAGCTTGTTTGTACTGTCACATTTCCTAGAACCATGTTTAAAAAAAACCAAAAATTTGGGATTCTGGATCACTTTGATATTCTTTTTTACATCCACCCTTCACATTTGTTGTCGATTTTTTGTTTCTTACAGACTTGTTTTTGAAAACTCATGTCATCTAGTCCACAATTTGAGTGAGAAAATTTTGTGTGCAAAGATTTCCATGGGAGATGAAAAAATAGCTTGAATATTCATTTATGACTTTTGGAGAATATTCCCTTTGACTTGTATGTACACCTATATATACACAAGTTATATTCGTTTTGGTAGGTGTGCTTAAATATATATATATATATATATATATATATATATATATATATATATATATATATATATATATATATATATATATATATATATATAGATCCTATTTGTACTTCA